TAGCCAAGCATTGAAACAGCATCGCCAGCTTGCGTTCTGGTATTTCCAAAAGAAACAAAATAAAGGGTGTCCATTCTCAAAAAAAAAAAACCAATGGCACACTTGCAGGAGAGTGGAAGACTTTCACGAAGCCGTTGCAAACTTTGAATCATGTACCTAGTTGCATTTAGCTATTCTAGGAATCAGAAAATGGGAAGGTGCGACCTGTCAACGTGGAGTCAAATCCCAACGGCACACCGCCAAAAGCAATTCCAGGTCAAAAGCTTAGCCAAGCATTGAAACAGCATCGCCAGCTTGCGTTCTGGTATTTCCCAAAAAAACAAAATAAAGGGTCTCCATTCTCATAAACGCTAAAATCCCAATGGCACACTTGCAGGAGAGTGGAAGACTTTCACGAAGTCGTTGCAAACTTTGAATCATGTCCCTAGTTGCATTTAGCTATGCCCGGAAACAGAATACGGGAAGATACGACCTGTCAACTTGGAGTCAAATCCCAATGGCACACCGCCAAAAGCAATTCCAGGTCAAAAGCTTAGCCAAGCATTGAAACAGCATCACCAGCTTGCGTTCTGGTATGCCCAAAAGAAACAAAATAAAGGGCGTCCATTCTCATGAGAGCCAAAACCTCAATGGCACACTTGCCAGCGGAGTGGATGACTTTCACAAACAAAGTTTGAAATTAATAACATTGAAATCACACCCTGCCCTGCTGTAACGGAATCCGAGACATATGGAATATGGATGTAATACCAGAATCATGACTCTGGAAGGTTTTTGGACGAGGTACCGGACGAGATACCGGACGAGGTACCGGAATTACATTTTGCCATTCCAGCCAGGACCCACCCCACGTATCCCCACGTCAGATCAAAAACCGTAAATGGTAAAAACGATGTGGATAGGTCCGAAACATCCAAGCAATAAGGTCCGGAAGATGAGGTGGAGGAGGATAATGTTGCGGATGATGAGGTGGAGGATGATGTGGAGGATGATGAGGTAGAGGATAACGATGTTTTCAAGGAGGAAGATAATGATGTTGAGGATGATCATGTTGAGGAGGAGGATGAAAAGGATGATAATTTATATTGCGGAAGAGGGGGTGGAGGAGGAGGATGTTGCAGAAAATGAGGTGGAGGATGACGATGTTGAGGATGATGATGTCAAGGGGGAGGACGAGGATGATGCTGAGAATGATGATGTGGAGGAGGAGGAGGAAGATGATGATACTGAGGAGGAGGAGGCGGAGGAGGCGGAGGAGGAGGAAAAGGAGGAGGAGGACCGATCACAAGACCCCCGAGTGTGTACACACTGTGTGGGCAACTCACGTTGCTCCAGGGATTGTTAGGGGGCAAATGGATATAACTTGATATAACTAATGTTTGCCATGTTAAGAATCCCTGCGTGCCTATGCGTTGTGCTGTAAAGATCATACCAAATAACAAATCATGTAGTAATTCATTCCAGTGGTTGTGTCACTTCTTCCGCATGGCACACCGAGATGAGACAACAAAGTGCTATCTGAGACAAGAAAGGGCTTTCACCCAGTATCTCACATATTTTCTGACGCTCTTTCTAGCATTCTATTTGGTATATCATCTTCGGAGATTCTTTGTGGTTGAGGTCCGGCGGGCAACACTTTGATCCGGAGCTTGCGGTGGAGGTCCGGCGGGGAACACTCTGATCCTGACAGAGCTTCTTGTTCGGGCGATCTAGAGCTTGCAGTTGAGGGAATCACAAGCCTCTCCGACCGTGAAAGATTCCGGATCTCCAAGGTCGGGTGGCTGCGAATGAAAACGGCCGCTGCCTTCTTCCAGCTAGTCCAGTTCACAGACGCAAAAGCCACAACAAAAGTGGAGCAGGACTAGCTGGATGACTTGAGCCAAAATCTGGCATCAATTCATCCAGCTAATCCTCACATCTTTTCAAAACACATGAAGACCCTACCCGACCAGCCTACTCACATGTTGGAATAACCTGAGAAGAGGGAAGCGAAAAACAGCATCCCATCTATCCCTATGTTCCCCAATATTTTTCACCCAGAGACTCTTCACACAGAAACCCTTCTTGCACATACTTTTCAGCCATATACTTTTCACCCACAGACTCTTCACCCAGAAACCCTTCTTGCACATACTTTTCACCCATATACTTTTCACCCAGAAACCCTTCTTGCACATACTTTTCACCCATATAACATATACTTTTCACCCACAGACTCTTCACCCAGAAACCCTTCTTGCACATACTTTTCACCCAAAGACTCTTCACCCAGAAAATCTTCTTGCACATACTTTTCACCCATATACTTTTCACCCATATACTTTTCACCCAGAGACTCTTCACCCAGAAGCTTTCTTGCACATACTTTTCATCCATATACTTTTCGACCAGAGACTCTTCACCCAGAAACTCTTCTTGCACATACTTTTCATCCATAAACTTTTCACCCAGAGACTCTTCACCCAGAAACTCTTCTTGCACATACTTTTCACCAACACCCCTTTCACCCAGAAACACTTCTTGCACATACTTTTCACCCATATACTTTTCACCCACAGACTCTTCACCCAGAAACTCTTCTTGCATAGATTTTTCACCCAGAGACTCTTTACCCAGAAACTCTTCTTGCACATACTTTTCACCCAGAGATTCTTCACCCAGAAACTCTTCTTGCACATACTTTTCACCCATATACTTTTCACCCAGAGACTCTTCACCCAGAAACTCTTCTTGCCCATGCTTTTCACCCGTATAGTTTTCATCACCCAGAAACTCTTCTTGCACATACTTTTCACATCTTTTCACCCATTAACTTTTCACCCAGAGACTCTTCACCCAGAAATCCTTCTTGCACATACTTTTCACCCAGAAACTCTTCTTGCACATGCTTTTCACCCAGATACTTTTCACACAGAGACTCTTCACCCAGAAACTCTTCTTGCACATACTTTTCACCCATATACTTTTCACCCAGAGACTCTTCACCCAGAAACCCTTCTTGCACATACTTTTCACCCATATACTTTTCACCCAGAGACTTCTTCCACATACTTTTCACCCATATACTTTTCACCCAGAGACTCTTCACCCAGAAACTCTTCTTGCACATACTTTTCACTCATATACTTTTCACCCAGAGACTCTTCGCCCAGACTTTTCACCCAGAAACTCTTCACCCAGAAACTCTTCTTGCACATACTTTTCACCCATATACTTTTCACCCAGAGACTCTTCACCCAGAAACTCTTCTTGCACATACTTTTCACCCATATACTTTTCACCCGGGGACTCTTCACCCAGAAACTCTTCTTGCACATACTTTTCACCCAGATACTTTTCACCCAGAGACTCTTCACCCAGAAACTCTTCTTGCACATACTTTTCACCCATATACTTTTCACCCAGAGACTCTTCACCCAGAAACTCTTCTTGCACATACTTTTTCACCAATATACTTTTCACCCAGAGACTCTTCACCTAGAAACTTTTCTTGCACATATTTTTCACCCATATACTTTCACCCAGAAACTTTTCTTGCACATACTTTTCACCCATATACTTTTCACCCAGAGACTCTTCACCCAGAAACTCTTCTTGCACATACTTTTCACCCATATACTTTTCACCCATAGACTCTTCACCCAGAAACTCTTCTTGCACATACTTTTCACCCATATACTTTTCACCCAGAGACTCTTCACCCAGAAACTCTTCTTGCACAGACTTTTCACCCATATACTTTTCATCCAGAGACTCTTCACCCAGAAACTCTTCTTGCACATACTGTTCACCCATATACTTTTCACCCAGAGACTCTTCACCCAGAAACTCTTCTTGCACATACTTTTCACCAATATACTTTTCACCCAGAGACTCTTCACCCAGAAACTCTTCTTGCACATACTTTTCACCCATATACTTTTCACCCACAGACGGGTCAACCATATACTTCTCACCCACAGACTCTTCGCCCATATACTTTTCAAACAGAGACTCTTCACCCAGAAACTCTTCTTGCACGAACCTTTCACCCATATAATTTTCACCCAGAGACTCTTCACCCAGAAACTCTTCTTGCACATACTTGTCACCCATATACTTTTCACCCAGAGACTCTTCACCCAGAAACTCTTCTTGCACATACTTTTCACCCATATACTTCTCACCCAGAGACTCTTCACCCAGAAACTCTCCTTGCACATACTTTTCAAACAGAGACTCTTCACCCAGAAACTCTTCACCCAGAAACTCTTCTTGCACATACTTTTCACCCATATACTTTTCACCCACAGACGGGTCAACCATATACTTCTCACCCACAGACTCTTCGCCCATATACTTTTCACCTATATACTTTTCACCCAGAAACTCTTCCCTCATCCCCTTGCAAACCGTCTTGCTCCGAACCCCAACGGAGGCTGCTCTCCATTGAGCTTGGATCCTGATTTTTTTCAATATGCTTGCCTCTATGTTCCTAGTTTTTCCAAAGCTTTGCCTTGCCTCCATTTCATGCCTTTTTTTCAAACCGTTTCCTGCGTTCCTACGGTTTTTCCAGAGTTTCCTTCCTGCAATGTCCTCATTTTCCCAACGGTTTCCTCGATTTCAATTTCCTTGATTTTTCCAAGCTTGCCATTCATTTTTCCTCCAGTTTAATGTTTTTTTCACAATTTTCCTCCTTCCTCCATTTTCCCCCTGTTTTTAACGATTTTCCTTCATTTTCCTTTGTTTTTTCCTACATTTTTCCTTCCGTTTTCAAGGGACCTAGGGAGAATCGAACCCCACCGTCACCAAATTGCCTAGTGGCACATGCCCCCCTAGAAAATTCCAAGCGGCCACCCTTATCACCACCTGATATCGAGATTTCGGTGCACCTGGGCAACCTCCCCCTATACTCACTTCGTTCGCGAAAACAACTTTGCCTAGCCTAACGGCTGGCTTTCGTAATTGAAACATATTGACACATATTGAGACAGTACCCACAGCCTGTTCGCCTGGGCTCCTTTTTTCTCAGGTATATTGATGCGCAATCTCCGGTGGCAAGTTTCTCAGCCACACCGCTACGAACCGCCAGCTGAGTTTTCAGACTCAGCCGCTGCGGCTGCTTCTCTAAGGGCGCGTTTCTTGGCTTCAAGTGCTTCTAACAGCGCCTGCTTCTCTCCTTGGGCGAATGGGCAGCCACCAATTCTATTCATGGTTGGGATTTTCAGTACGGTGCCTCAGGTGCTAAATCACGTAGCTGCATTTTGGACTGGAATAAAAATAAATATCATTATCATTTTTGGCTGAATTTCCCACTGGCTGTGCTGATGAAAAGGGGCTCAAATGAAAAGGACACTAGCTGCTGGCTGCCAGCAGCTCGTGCTCTCTTTGTCTCTGAGAACCTATCTATCTCCATGTACAACAAACATAGGAAAGCGCAGCCTGAAGATATGATATGAAAATTATATATATATATATGTGCATATTACCTACACATGATATATGATAAAGACATGTGACATATAGCTACTATAGTTCATAACTAGCATTCATGGACTTTGAGACAAGTTTCTACTTTCCTTTTCTTTCTCTTCCTCGCAAAATTGCATGTAGGAAGACCACATTTCTGCATTGAGACCACTGAGGGCCTGCTTTGCTTGCGCCTGAATCACATCCTGCGTAGCTGAGCCCATTCGTGAGAGAACCATCAAATTCACCGTGTTTGCCTGCTCATCTCTAAGGATACAAATATTGATGCAAGTAACTTCAAGTAACTGGTCTTTCCCACTGCTCTTCATTACACAGGTTGTTGGGGGTTCTTTCCTAGTGTAGCAAGCGCCCTTTCAAACAAAGTGGAAGCCCTACCATGGTTTTATTGTTTGACAAGAACCTCATGGGCATAGCGTACAACATCGTGCCATATAAATGGCCGGCCGATGTCCTGCTCAGCTTTGGCGTTGAGATTACTTTCCAAGGCCTGCTCTTGGTTCTGAGGTTTCGCAAAGGTCACCGCCACCTTTCTTGACTGAATCATAGATCCTTGGTTGGTCCGGTAGTGGTGGCAAAACCATTGGCTGAGATTGGGAACTGGAAACTGGATGAAACTGGTACAGAATCTACTCATTTCTTGGATTTTAAAATGGACGTTTTGACCTACTTGCAGGTCCTAAAGATCCCAACGATTTCAAGAGGTCCTACCCTTGTATCTGATTTCTATGCCTTAGGCTCGTCAGACTACAACTAGCCTCAACTAGCCTTGGCCCCCTATCGTGAGTGATATGGAACGGTCAGAGTACACTGCATCGTGCAATATTGTGGCCAACTCCCTGTCCAACCAAGATTCCTGCTGCAACCATCCGGTTTCTTGCAGTCATAGCATCACTCACAGAGTAAAAACTCACGAAACAGAAGCCCTTTGACTTCCTTGTCGATCGATCAAGCATCATGCGCACCGCCTTTACTAGAGGCACATGCGCTTGGAATGCTTTCCTGCGTTGGTGTCGGGAAAATTACCAAATCAGGTTTGCTAAGGACGAGCAACTGGAGCAACTGGCAAATCTACACCCAGGGTACTGATGGGTACTGAGTACATCCAAATAATCCAAAAAAACATCAAAAATTACTCCGCCAATTGGCAGGAGCCAAGTGGTCCCCTTAGTTGGATCAGTTCCCCCTGACGCCAAGCTTCTTGATCTGGTGTTCCTCCAGCTCTCCTATAAGCCTCACCATCAGCGTGTCTGATGGATTTTCCTCGGCTGCCACACTCTCCACCAAAGCTGCTTCAGCATCTGCCTCTGAAACCATGGAAGAGTGTTGCAGTCCTTAGTTCTGCAGACTAAGTACCAAGGGAGCGTCTCTCTTCTGTGCAAGACCCCTTCCGAGAGTCCCACTTATCCCAAAGTGTATGCCAGAAAATGTTTGGCCCACTGGAACCCAACCACCAAAAGATTGACCTGAACCTGCTGCGCATGGACGGTCAAACTGCGAACTCCTATGAAAATGTCACATGTAAGTTAGAACCGTGTTTGGTCTATTTCCCTGTGGGCATTTTGACCACACAGGGCATGTTTAGAACCTGATCATAATTTCTTGGAACCTATTATAATTATAGCCCATATTAGCCAAAATCTGCCAAAATCCAGCCGGACACTGCAGATTTGCCCACACAGCAATCTATCAACTGTACTGCTGGGTGCGAGTTGGTTTTTCAAAAGGCAAACCAAACTTCGTGGCCTTGATGTTGGACCCGGTGGTACATGTATTTCTTCTTTCCAAGCGCATTGTATGATTGAAACTGGGATTTGGTGGAACACTGTGTGTTTGCTTCAGTTATCCCAGTAGGATACCTTGCATGGGTTCATAAGTGGGAATGCGAATCAAGTTGAATTAAATGCTAAATTCAGGGCAGTAAACAATAACATCGTGAATCTGAAAGAAGCTGAAGGTACATTTTTTTCATATGTTTCCTATGTGCCACCAAACATCGGCCACATACTGAATATCATCATTTACGGCATACCGTCATATATGCACTTATGCCGTGAACTGTTTGCCATAAAACTATGTGGATAGAGTGGTGCTGCGAATTGCAGAATTACTATGCTTACATGAAATGGTATGAACCAGCATACTGCATACCGTCAAAACAGTATGATGGGAGGCTGTGCTGCATGAATATGTATAATCATACTTTTTAGTGAAGCAGATTCAGATAGGCAGCAAATAGGCTCTGAAAACTAGTGATAGGTTTGTTTTGATAACAATTTGTTATGTTCTTTATTGCAAGAGGAGCCATGAGAACTTGACTGTCGAATATTCCGTGATATGCGATGATAAAACTTGTCGATTAATGAACGTGTTAAGTGCATAACCTACTAGTACAAGCAGCTTCACACGTTAAACCCCCAAAGAAAAAATAGTGGCATCTCCATCACTCATTTCAATATACTTAAAGACAAGCCACAACTAAGTTTCAAGTTCACTGTTTCATTTAAACACTTCCAGCCTTTGACTTACACTTGCACCGTATTCAACAGTTGATATCATATATATATATAACTTTCAGATGTTTGACCATGAATTTGTATTGCAGTTTGTACCTAAACTGGTGAGTTTTTACCTGCAAATACTTACAGTTTACGACTTAGAACCTTGGTATTTTAAGCAACCTCGAAGCCTTTGCCATCTTACCATAATGTTAAAAATTATGCGTGTTTTCAAGACTCGTAGGGACGGTTTCAACGGTTTCTACCTGTTTCCAACAAATACAGGTGGAAACGGGTTCAACGGTCTCAACCTATTATGTTATAAACAGCTTCCAGAAACGGTTTGAAACGGTTTGAAACGGTTTCTAATCTGTTTCGTTTTTGGGGCATAATAGCGCTGTGCGGAAGAAACGGTTTCCATCCGTTTTGGGCCCAAATAGGTGGAAACGGTTTCAACGGTTCCTACCTGTTTGGCTTTCAACCTCATGAAATGATTGCCTGTTTTAACATGAACGAGAAAATCAAACATAGACAACATAGGGTCCCATAGAAATCATAAAAGTCTAGACATGTTGGCATAATCCGGAGGTCAATACTTGAAGTACCAAAGTTTGAAGTGTCAACACGGTTCAAAATAATTTCCGGCCTTACTTAAACTTCTGGGGGAAATTAAGGGGGTTTGAAGAGACATCTTGGGATGTCCTGGCAGTTGCGTATTGCTCGGCCCGGCTTGCGTGTTCAAATGGATTTGACTAGAACACTGTTGATTTGCTATCGGGACATTGCACTCAGCCCTGACTGTCCTGTGGGAAAAAAACGTAAACAATGGAAGAAAGTTGAGCCCTGAAATGGCCTACGGATGGTGCCAGAAACCGTTTCTACCGTTTCTACCTGCCAGAAACTGTTTCTACCTGTAATTTCACCAAAAAAAAGTTTAGAAACTATTTCTCAAATCTTAGAACCTGAATTCAAAAAACGACTTCGGCTACGGGGCATGGGGGTGGAGTCCAGGGCCAGCAGGGAAACATCCAACGCAGAAGGCCATTCTACCACATTGTCTATTCCGGTGAAACAGTGAAGACTTGCCAGAAGCAGTGGAAGTATTGCATCATGCAAGGAAAATCTGCAGGATTCATCAAACCAGCCCATGTCCGCAAGATGTACAGTCGAAGTCATATATCATGAACCATACAGCATTTAAGTAAAGGTATTACACCGCTACGTGCTTTTGCTTTGACATCATGATACAAGGCACATACCTGACTTGTGACATGTTAAAGCATAGACGTTGGAACGGTCTTAAGCCATGAATCATTAATCAAAATCCACAAATAGTATAGTATAGTTAATACTTGTTAATACATGATAGTGACAATTATGATACAATGATACAATGGTAACTGCTGGCTAACTTGCTAGTAGCTGCTAGGTAACAACTGATCTACGACTCTCTACTGTACTGCCCCACCTGCTGAAGCAATGCAGCGTGCTTCTTCAATCCACCTACGGAACCCTCTTGTCCTTTGCAAAAATGTTTCAAGGAAAAAAATCTGAACCTTCGGTTTCATGAATTGAGCCCATCATTTGCAGATACAGTGACAGTGATATGATCATCGAATCATACGTTGTAACAAAAGCACACGACAAAGCATGCGTAGCTACAACGCACTAAGCGCACTAACAGTCATCAGCGCGCAGTCGTGCATTGTAACTACGGCCCAGTGAAATTTGGAAAAGATGGTAGCATGACAAGGGACTGCACCAATCATGTTCTCTGCTATCGTATGCTACAGCCGTGTTTTTTTCACAACCAAACATCAAATATGTCATATGTTGTTTAAATGATCAATAGGACCATGTGATAGCAAGAGCAAGAAAAGACATTCTTGACTTATACACTCACTCATGGATTGCCTGGATGGTAGCCCATACCTGACATGGAGCATGCATAAAATTTGAGAGCACAAAGCATACTTCTGCATACTTTCATCATGAACATCATTTATCTACCCCCACCCAAAAAAAAAACTGATTTAAAAGTCATACATGATGTATGTGATATACAATTTTTCACACGCATATCCAATCGCGTGCGCAGATGGTGCAATTTTTGTCTCATTGTACGTATAGATCCTTGTATGCAAGAACTTATTCTGTCAGTGGGTTTCCACTGATCAAGCATATGCGTGTACGTACATATACATGGAAGGAGGCTGTTTTCATCCAACGCTGCGGCGTGGCACATCGCTTTTGTGTAGTGTCAATGTCTTACTGGAAGGCTGCTGCAAAAACTTCATTGACTGTGGTTGTGCCAAAATACAGTGGGTATGATGCATGTCCGGACAAGGAGGGATCTTGAAGGCAAAAGGTTTGGATATTGAGCAATCATGTTTATGCTGTTGAGACGTAGTCTGAAAAACATCAAATCATGTACAACACGTGCGACAAATATGCAGCAATAAGTTGTAAGACCCAATTGTATGACACCTTGTTCAAAACAAGAACTGCTTGAGGCAGAAACAAATGATAATTTGTTTAGAAGCAAATTGAATAGATTCTAAGAACTATACGATAGGTTCTAAGAATTATATAAAAAATTCTAAACCAGCATTTCTATACGTCAGGATCCCTGATTTAAATAGAGCAGACTTGATTCTAAACTATATGTAATAAAAAGACCCAGATTTATAGACAACAGGTTCTAAGAATTTTACAGCAGGTTCTAAGAATCCTTTAATAGGTTCTAAGGCACCATTTTGATACGTCAGGATCCCTGATTTAAATAGACCAGACCCGTATCTAACATGTAAGCGCAATATTATAAGACAAAACCGCGTAGCATCCACGTAGCAACCGATCCTTTTTGGTTTCTTGACAACCTTCCTCAAACTTGTCTGATGAGGCTCTATAGACCCACTGTCGCACTTGAAGCTGTCCGTTTGAGACACGAAGAAAGTCGCGACAGGCTTCCTGGCACTTTTCATGTCGTCTTATGGTTAGAATTGCGATCCTGAGAGGTTGGAATCACTGGATGTGTGCAATTTGATGATTTTGATGGATGGAGCAACTTTGGCCACAACAGTGTGTCTACGGCGTCTAGGCGGCTGGCGTCTAGATGGCTGGTGTTCAGATGTGTATCTCCTTATCTGCGTACACTGTTTCCCCCCGTTTACGGCCGTGGTACCCTTTAGCTGTCCTGGTATGGGAAGTCGATCAAGACCACAGAAGGTGACACATATCTCACCTCAAGCAAGAACCATTTTTGTTCAAATGTTGATACTCTTAGATGGCTATAGCTATAGATGGTTTACTTCATGGATGTTGAACAAACCTTTCTGTCCATTCTGTTGGGAGTCTGAAGTCTCTGGTACTTTGTGCACAATATGCTCTGATATGCCGATATGCTTAAATGTTGTTTTGGATGGCTTGTCACATCACTCGCAATGGCTGGTCCTTTCGCTGACCAAGACACGTCATCGGGAGTACTGAAGGAGTGCTGAATGCAAAGCTGTCGGGCTTGCTCCTCGATCTCCTTCTCGATCCCTGGTGTTAAACTTCCAGAACCCAGCAATGTGACCTGGCTGCACTCATAAGAGCTGAAGTGAAGTCCTTCCTTTCATGTGTCAACTAGATGAAATATCCGCCGACCTCAGCCAACCGCAGGAGGAGCGCGTCCAAGAAAAAGTGCTGTTAAGGCCTAGTCGCTTCAGAAAGCGATGTTAGGCAGTAGCCTGGCGCCCCCGCCCAGCGCCATACTTTTGCCATCTGCCGGACGCTTTCAAAGAGGTTCTCGAGTGGTAGCCTGGCTGGCGCCCCCGCCCAGCGCCATACTTTTGCCATCTGCCGGACGCTCTCAAAGAGGTTCTCTATGGTAGCCTGGCTTTAAACCCGCTTCACAAAGCAACGTTAGGCAGTAGCCTGGCTTTAAACCCTTCCCACCGCGCTTGCCGGCGCCCTTTGCAATACTTTGGCCATCTGTCGGGCGCTTTCCAAGAGGTTTTCTACTGGCTTCAGAAAGCAACGTTAGGCACTAGCCTGGCTTTAAACCCTTCCCACCGTCCTTGCCGGCGCCTTAAGGCTAACCAGCGCAATACTTTGGCCATCTGCCGGTCTCTTTCCAAGAGGTTTTCTAGTGGCTTCAGAAAGCAACGTTAGGCACTAGCCTGGCTTTAAACCCCCCCGGCGCCCTTGCCGGTGCCTTTTGCAGCCTTCCGGCTGCCCAGCGCAATACTTTGGCCATCTGCCGGGCGCTTTCAAAGAAGTTTTTTAATGGCTTCAGAAAGCAACGTTAGGCACTACCCAGCCTGGCTTTAAACCCTCCCCGGCGCCCTTGCCGGCGCCTTTTGCAGCCTTCCGGCTGCCCAGCGCAATACTTTGGCCATCTGCCGGGCCCTTTCCTAGAAGTTTTCTAATGGCTTCAGAAAGCAACGTTAGGCACTAGCCTGGCTTTAAACCCTTCTTGGCGCCCTCCACAAAAAAATAACACCTGTTCGGGAGTCTCCTTGTTCAGGAGACTATTTACTGTTTCACGAGTCCCCCACCAGCCCTTGTTCAGGGCTCTCCTTGTGCAGGAGATTTCTCGGGCTTCCCGAACTGCCCGGGGTCGCGGCAGGGGCGGCAGCCGTTTATATACAGTGTAGAAAAGTATGTCACATGAATCTCAACCCCCGAACAACCATTTGTAGATGTTTGTTTCGTAAAAAAAGGTAGTCATTCAGTTTAGTCGAGAGGACTTCTTATTGTTTAGGATTCTTGGGAATGTATTGGTCTGGAAAAAGAAACGGCAAAGCACTTTTTGTTCCAAGGCGCCGTGTTGGGACTTCCACCCCTCGCCCATCCCTTCGGTCGCATCATGGGTGCTGATGGCACGGGTGGCGGCGCCTGCGGCGCCTTCCCTTTGCCATAAGGACCGGGTGATGGGGCTGGAGGTGTTGGTTCGGGTCCATAGCCGGAAGGTTCACCCCAGCCGGGCCCATCCCAGCCGGGCCCATCCCAGCCGCCATCCCAGCCACCGTCCCAGCCGCCATCCCAGCTGCTATCCCAGCCAGACCCATCATTCCAGCCGTCGTTCATGGGGCCACCCCCACAAGGACCGCAAGGCCCGCAGGGACCAGGCCCTTTGCCCCAGCTCTTGCCACCTGCAAGTGGACTGAAACACGGAAACAACTAACGTGGCCGGACAACTTTCCTCAGGTATGCCCGGCACAATTTTCAATGCTTGGGGGTTGGTCAGAATTGTAGAACCTGAAAATGGACCGGGTAAAAATGACCAGCCGACCTGACGATCTGAGGCTCCAGGCAAAAAATGCTACATATAATTCCCTGTAATGATAAATCCAGACCAGCTCCCAACCTGAAACCATACTGAGCAACAAATAAATGTGTCATACATCCCGTTACAAACACAAAGTTCAAGATATTCCAAGATTATCTGACTATCCTTTGAAGTCCTTGAAACACGGGACAGCTGCCTGGTGGCACCGGTGGCGGCATGGGTCTACCTGGCCCACCTTTCCCCACAGCCCATGGAGGCGGTGGCACCACGGCCGCGGCCGGACCCGCCGCGGCTGGCGCCGGGACAGGCGCTTTGCTCATGACGTTGGCGGCTGGACCTCTGGGCCCAGCGGGTGCGCCATGGATGTCACTGGCGCGGAACATTGGCGCAAGGTCACCCCCTTGACAGCCGAAAGGACTCACCGGAGCGGACAGCGGAAAACCATGGATTTACCAAAGGCTTTATCAAAGGCTTTACAGTGCCCCGAAGGTCCCCGGAAGATGCCTAGAATTCCGTGAAATCCCTGGTATCTCTGGATCAAGTTATTTGCTTTGTTGAGGCTCCCATGCACTCAGTGGAATCTTTGGGCAAATCCGTTTGGACATGCACTTGAGTCAAACCGCAATACCTCCGTCCCACTTGCCGTCCAAAGGAAAATTCTTTGCAGCAGAGTTGCACAAGAAAACTTCTCAGCGACATTCAGTTTCTCAAACCATCCCACATTGCATGTCAATCCCAGGGTGCTAATCATCTCACTAGGTCCAACTGGACGTCTGCAGCATCTACATCCAAGAATGGGAGCTTTCCGATTCTATTTCCCTCGTCTGCCACTCAGCAATTCAACACCAGCTGGTGACATCATGAAAACCACTCTGCTCTGCCCCACCCAGAGTTTGATGCGCAGAATCAGTTGGAATCTGCATCCAGCCCTTGGTTCTCTGCCCCTCACAAGGAAACACTACACTCTGACACATGCCAGGCAGGCGTATCTGCAAGGACTCGCGCATGCGAAAGGATGACCCATCTGTCATGAGAAGTACATGGCAACAAGATCCGTCCCACCCAGCGCTTCAATCTATGACTTGAATCTGACTAGAACATACTAGAACTACGAATCATGTCATGAAACGCATGAAGCATCATTTCTACACAGTGGAGACGCACGTACCATATACGTCATATACCATATACCACCACTCGTCACTTGAACACCAGGAGGTCACAGGTCGCCCATGAGATAATGACATGACGCCAACGAGCCAGTGGTGCTGTACCCAATGATCTCACCTCAGGCGGAATGGGCTGTTGCTGTCTACAGCTACAGCTGAGAATGAGATACGTGTGCCCCACCAGCAAGTGGTGGCAAAATGACAACCCACCAAGCAAAGGATCATATATTGATCATGTCTGAACAAGACTTCAACTCATTGGGATCCACACTGGCGCCTTCAGCTCAGCCTGAAAACCGACTGGCACTGAAAGCGATTGGTTTGAATCCCCTTATTTTCGCCACTGGCTTGGTTTACCGTGTCTTCAAATAGAGCACATTTACTCACCAAAACTCTCCTAAATGGTTGTACAGTTTCCAGGAATCCCGTGCTTGCAGAGTGATGTAGAGCTGGATTTGGGATCCCTACCATTGGAGCGGCCTGCAGGCCCACCTGATCACAGGCATTCAGTTCACAGAGATCCTACAAAGTGACAAATCATATGTTTTTTTGGAAATTGTCTAATTTTGCCACCGCAAAACACTGCTGTCAAACTGCTGACGGGAAAGGTTTCCGGGCATTCATCTTACCGTCTAAGTTACGAGGTTGCGGCAACAACAGCCAAAAAGTAGTGCCACCAGCTAAGTCCACAACGCTTCAAAACCTTGTAAGTCAAACCACGTGCTCAATTCCTAAAAGAGATCAAACTTAAATTGAACTATTTCCAACACAGGAAATGTCGTCCCGACACAACATCCTAACAGGGGCACCCCCTGGACACCTTGGCGGGGCGAGCCACAGGATGCGGTGCTGGTGGAGCAAAAGCAAAAGCCTGTCACGGATCAGTGGATCATGGCATTTATCATCCACCATGTTACTCATCGAAGGAAGTTTAGAAGTCAAACTTCCAACAATATGGACAGATGGAAGAGTCAGAGAAGAGAAGAGAAGAGAAGAGAAGAGAAGAGAAGAAGAAAGAAGAAAGAAGAAAGAAGAAAGAAGATCAAAAAAGACAAAGTCGCAGAAGAAAGAAGATCCAGGTGTGCGAAAAGGTAGGAAAGTCGCAAAACACTGTGTTTTTCCAATGGTTTGTGGCTCCGGAGGATCGCAAAGTAGGCTCGCTAAAGCGGCGGGTGCGGGGCCATGTGGTCGGATGAGAGATGAAAAGTTGCACCACGTTGTGGCGCGAAGCACGTTTCTAAGTCAAAATATACAAAATAAACACAGCAACTGGGCCATTTTTGGAAGTTGAGATGATGAAAAAGTGCACGCCGTTGGGGCGCGAAGCACATGTCGAAGTCAAAATGTACAAAAAACCTCAGTTGTGATGTCGAAAAAGTGCACGCCGTTGTGGCGCGAAGCACATTTGCAAGTGAAAAAGCTAAAAACACCTCACGTTCGGAGCACTTTTGGAAGCCGCGATGTCGCAAAAGTGCACGCCGTTGTGGCGCGAAGCACATTTCGAAGTCAAAATGTACAAAACACACCATGGTTGGACCACTTTTGGAGGTTCAGATGTCGAAAAAGTGTACGCCGTTGTGGCGCGAAGCACATGTCGAAGTCAAAATGCACAAAACACCACATGTTCACGCCACTTTTGGACGTTGAAGTCGGTTTGTGTGGCGGGTGCAAGGGATTCCCCACCCTGCCAGAAGTGAGCAAAACGTTAGGGTTTTGTGGCATTTCCAAAAACGATGGCGGGCGGGGGACATGCGAAGAGGATCTGCAAAGATGGATTTCGCGTGGCAGGCGCAAGACAAGAGACATGTTCAATGAGAGATGTTAGGAGGTCAGGCCGCTGATTTCCTGAGGGGGGTTGCATTTTGGAGCATCAGATCTTCAGTTTGGGGAAGATGATTTTGCGTGACAGGTGCAGCACTTTGTATGACTTGGCATCACTTTTTCGTGGCGGCCGCAGCACTTTAGACAGATGGAGTGGAAAATCACAAAACACATTGGTACGAGGCCGTCAGCTCTGCATTCAACTTTCCATTCTTGAAGGACGTCTCGCAGAATTCTTTCGTTTTTGATCTTGTCAAGTTCAAACATTGAGGAAGTCTCGTAGAATTGCTGCATTTTTCACCATCGAACATGGAGGAAGTCTCACAGAATTGCTTCGTTTTTCATGTTGTCACTGTCGAAAACGGAGGAAGCCGTGCAAAATCGCTTCGTTGTCAAGCTTGCCTGCGCACAGACAGACAGATAGATTGGATAGATTAGATAGATAAGATAGATAAGATAGATAAGATAGATAAGATAGATAAGATAGATAAGATAGATAGAATAGATAAGATAGATAAGATAGATAAGATACATAAGATACATAAGATAGTTAAGATAGATAAGATGGATGAGATGGATATGATAGATAAGAAGGATAAGATACATAAGATACATAAGATAGCTAAGATAGATAAGATGGATGAGATAGATTAGATAGATTAGATAGATTAGATAGATTTGAAAGATTAGATAGATTAGATAGATTAGATAGATTAGATAGAATAGATAGATTAGATAGATTAGATAGATTAGATAGATTAGATAGAATAGATAGATTAGATAGATTAGATAGATTAGATAGATTAGATGGATTAGAAGGATTAAATAGATTAGATAGGTTAGATAGATTAGATAGATTAGATTAGATTAGATTAGGTTAGATTAGATTAGAGTAGAGTAGATTAGATTAGATAGACAGATAGAAAGATAGATAGAAAGATAGATAGATAGATAGATAGGTAGGTAGATAGGAATAGATAGGAATAGATAGGAATAGATAGGAATAGATAGGAATAGATAGGAACAGATAGGAATAGACAGGAATAGAAAGGATAAGATAGGAATAGATAGGAATAGATAGGAAAAGATAGGATAAGATAGGATAAGATAGGATAAGATAAGATAGGATAAGATATGTAGATATATAGGATAAGAAAGATAGGTAGGATCAGAAAGATAGAAAGGATAAGAAAGATAGATAGGATAAGAAAGATAGATAGGATAAAAAAGAAAGATAGATAGATAGGTAAGTAGGAAGGTAGATAGGTAGGGAGGTGGATAGATAGGTAGGGAGATAGATAGATAGATAGATAGATAGATAGATAGATAGATAGATAGATAGATAGATAGATAGATAGATAGATAGATAGATAGGATAAGATAGATAGGATAAGATAGATAGGATAAGATAGATAGGATAAGATAGATAGGATAAGATAGATAGGATAAGATAGATAGGATAAGATAGATAGGATAAGATAGATAGGATAAGATAGATAGGATAAGATAGATAGGATAAGATAGATAGGACAAGATAGATAGGACAAGATAGATAGGATAAGGCAGATAGGATACGATAGATTGGATAAGATAGATAGGATAAGATAGATAGGATAAGATACATAGGATAAGATAGATAGGATAAGATAGATAGGATAAGATAGATAGGATAAGATAGATAGGATAAGATAGATAGGATAAGATAGATAGGACAAGATAGATAGGATAAGATAGATAGGATAAGATAGATTGGATAAGATAGATAGGATAAGATAGATAGGATAAGATAGATAGGATAAGATAGGTAGGATAAGATAGATAGGATAAGAAAGAAAGAAAGAAAGATAGATAGATAGATAGATAGATTAGGTAGGTAGGTAGGTAGTCAGAGAAAAAGAGAGAGAGAGAGAGACAGAGAGAGAGAAAGAGAGAGAAAGAGAGGAGACCTTAACCACCTTTCGGTCCATCAGTGGATTTGCTTTGCCATCCGTGATTCACAACCACCAACCTCTCCTATAGGTTTCCTATTTTTGAAACTTCCGCCACCGCCTTGTGCGGTACTACTGGTATTGTTCCTACATAGTATTAATTTGTGCTATCATTTCTTACTTTAACTATAATACCATTATTTATTATCACTATTACTATTGTTGTTGTTGTTATTATTGTTGATGTTCATGTTGTTCTTCTTCTTCTTCTGCTTCTTCTTCTTATTGTTCTTCTTCTTCTTCTTCTTTTTCTTCTTCTTCTTCTTCTTCTTTCTTCTTGCTGTTGCTGTTGCTGTTGTGTTGCTGTTGCTGTTGTTCTTATCATTGTTATTTTTACTGTTTTTGATGTTATTAGGGCTATTCTGTTGTTCATACTATCGCTTCCACTCTATTCCGATCTCATTACATCATCATTAGAATCAGTTGTAGATCAAGGCATCA